GGTATAAATAGATGAGGTGAGAGAGGCAGGTGTGACTGAAGAAAAAAAAAAGAAGAAAAAGAACTTGAGAGGATCTGTGCGCTCACACACTTTCTCCTGCGGCGACGTGAATGGCTGTCTAAACATAGCCTTTAGCAGCTTTCGTGTTCGCAGATTGTTATGAGAGCTCGCTCATGAATAGTGATACAAGGTCCGTTAGAGAAAAAACAGGTAAAAGGAACCTTTTTAAAGGGAACAGTCATTTTGTCGTAAACCATGCAAAAAAAAATAAAAAATAAAACAAACAGGGCAATATCAGTATGAATATGAAAAGCTATGGAAATCTGGAGTTGCTATTTTAGATTTGTCAGAAAGCTTTCAGAGGCCAGTAACCCAAAAACAGGCTCAAATCCTCAGAGACAAACTCATGCATGGTGCAATCAGTGGATTGGCACTACACAATCCGCCTACATAAATAATGATTAAAACAGTTGAGATGTTTAAATAATGTTTTAAGTTTATTTCCTCATAATAATCTGTACACTCACAATTCTATGGCATTGTTAAAAGAAATCAGCAGTTTCCAGGTATCAATAACTATTACTTAAAGAGCATCTACAGTGGGGCAAAAAAGTATTTAGTCAGCCACCAATTGTGCAAGTTCTCCCACTTAAAAAGATGAGAGAGGCCTGTAATTTTCATCATAGGTATACCTCAACAATGAGAGACAAATTGAGAAAAAAAATCCAGAAAATCATATTGTAGGATTTTTAAAGAATTAATTGGTAAATTCCTCGGTAAAATAAGTATTTGGTCACCTACAAACAAGCAAGATTTCTGGCTCTCACAGACCTGTAACTTCTTCTTTAAGAGGCTCCTCTGTCCTCCACTCGTTACCTGTATTAATGGCATCTGTTTGAACTCGTTATCAGTATAAAAGACACCCGTCCACAACCTCAAACAGTCACACTCCAAACTCCACCATGGCCAAGACCAAAATTGTAGACCTCCACCAGGCTGGGAAGACTGAATCTGCAATAGATAAGCAGCTTGGTGTGAAGAAATCAACTGTGGGAGCAATTATTAGAAAATGGAAGACATACAAGACCACTCGAAGCGAAAAGCTGATGTGCGAAACACACACGCCAACTGTCATTGGCTTGTTTAGTTTACACTCGAAGGTGATTGGGCTCTCGGGCGAGATCCCAATTCGTCAGTCACTGACGTAACGTAGAACGTGACTGACTGAATGGGAACTTGCACAATTGGTGGCTGACTAAATACTTTTTTTCCCCACTATATATACAGACGTAGGCAGTATTTTTTTGTGTTGTGTTGACAGATATGCCATTCTTGATTTTTGAAGAAATTAATACTTTTACTCAGCAAGAATGCATTAAATTGCTAAACAGTGAGAACAGACATATTTATAATAGTACTCAAATGTTGTTCTTTTGAATTTTCTATTCATCAAAGAATACTGAAACAAAATGCATCACAGTTTCCACAATTATATACAAAATAGAAATATATAAAGAAATTAGCACCAAATCAGCATGTTAGAATGATTTCTAAAGACCGGAGTAATGGCTGCTGAAAATTAAGCTTTGCCATCACAGGAATAAATTACATTTTAAAATATACCTAAATAGAAAATGCAATTGTTTTAAATTGCAATAATATTTCACAATATTTCAGTATTTTTGCAGCCTGGGTGAGCATAAAATGTACTGCTCCAGTTTATTATGTAGGCTGTGAAATTGTACTATAATGAGGGAGAAACATCTGAAATAACATGAGTAACATTCAACTGATCATGTGATCTCAGCATGGCAACCCACTCTAAGACTAACAGCTTTTATTAGACAGGACTAAAGTCTTCATGGGAGTGCACATTTAAAAAAAAATAATTATTATATTAATTTCTGTAAAGCTTTTTAATGAGGTAAGAATTCCTGAGTGCACCTTTACATTTTTACATTCATATGCAGTGAATGCACAATCCAAGTGCATTGGGTATTTAAAAAGGCTGGTCTGAAGGTCAGAGAGCTGGCAGCAGGTACATCTGCTGGACGGAGGTAATGAAACATCAAAGCATGAGCAGAGAGTCAAATATTTGCCCAGCTAGGAAATCAGAATCTTACTCAAGGTAAACTCTTCAGTGGACATCAGCTAATTGTGCTCAAAGTAAATCTAGGAGAAAGGAACTTGTATTTCACAGTAGATATCTATAGACATGTTTCCCTAAAATTCACCACCACCATCCCATATCAAAAGCACATCAAAAAAGCATATGAATACCTCATCAAATCAAAGTTTTTGGTGATCTGATCAGCCAAGCATACAGCTAGAGGAAGAAAAGTTCAAACAAGAAATGGGATAGCAAAGAGAGCGGAAGACAAATATTTGTGTGTGGTTATGATTACAGAGATAGACAGTGGTTGGAATGAGATCTGTGTGGATTGAATGGGATATTCAGTGAGGGTGTAATGGCTCGCATTTCTCATGGTTCGGTCTGTATTGCGGTTCTGTGGTCATGGTTTCTGTACTGTTTGATTGATGGCAATAAAAGGACATCATATTTTTACCAGCAGTACATCCTATTTGTGATCAAATTTTCAAAAGGTACAGCCAACTCTGCAACCCAGCAATTGTGTAAAGGCTGGAAAAAACAATATATACACAAACGATTGATTGATTGATTGATTGATCTACCATTCAAAAGCTTTTTTAAAGAATTTTATACTTTTGTGCAGCAAGGATGCATTATTGCAATAAAAAGTGACAAGAGACATTTCTAATGTTACAAAAAATATCTATTTCAAATAAATGCTGTTTTTTAAGCTTTCTATTCATCAAAGATTCCTGACGAAATATAACAGCAGAACTGTTTAACTTTAATAAGAAATTTCTTAAGCACCAAATCTACATCTTAAAATGATTTTTCATGGATCATGTGACAATGAAGACTGGAGTAATGGCTGCTGAAAATTCAGCTTTGCCTTCATAGGAATTATTTATGTTTCAAATTAAATAAATAAAATAGAAAACTTTTATATTATATTATATTATATTATATTATATTATATTATATTATATTATATTATATTAATTTAGGACTGTCAAAATTAATGTGGTAATAAAGCATTAACGCAAATTCATTTTAACAGCACTAATTTTATTAACGAGTGATTAACACAGCGCGCATTTTCCATTTGACCCGTGGCCTAGTCCGTAATTTTTCATGGATCATGTGACAATGAAGACTGGAGTAATGGCTGCTGAAAATTCAGCTTTGCCTTCATAGGAATTATTTATGTTTCAAATTAAATAAATAAAATAGAAAACTTTTATATTATATTATATTATATTATATTATATTATATTATATTATATTAATTTAGGACTGTCAAAATTAATGTGGTAATAAAGCATTAACGCAAATTCATTTTAACAGCACTAATTTTATTAACGAGTGATTAACACAGCGCGCATTTTCCATTTGACCCGTGGCCTAGTCCGTAGTTGGAGAAATGGAGATAGATTTAACAACTTTTCATACCCCTGTTTTTTTGTATTTGATTTCATCAGACGATGGCTGATTATAAATCAGGATTTTTGTGCAGCTTAACGTCATGGAAGGGAGAGCTGGTTATAGTCTTAAAGGGCCATGTTTCAGTAACTATTTGATATTCATTCTGTTATCTGACAACAGAAACAGTAAAATATATCAATGAAAACAGTTTTAATGAGAATTTAGCTGCATCAAAGTATGTGGGCACAGAGAGGCAAACAAATGTAATAATAAATGTACATTTTGCATGTTCAGAAGAAGTGAGGTGCTCTGTCATGTGAAAATGTAAACAGGCGTGTGTAAATTGCTCAGTGCAAAGAAAGAGAAGTAGGCCTAACGGGAACCTGGTATTTCTATGTTCTTTTTTTTTCATGTGTCTAATAGACATGAACAAGTTCTTTGAAATATGTCTAGTCTTCATGCTCTATGTTAATTATGGTTTCACTAATAATAAACATACATTTGCATAAAGCATCCATATGTGTCCATGCACATGTTGATTAGAGTATTAAAAACTTGAAAAGTATTCATTTAAGGTACATTTAGAACAGATAAAAATGTGCGATTAAGTTGCAATTAATCATGAGTTAACGCATGACCATCGTGTGATTAATCGCGATTAAATATTGTAATCGATTGACAGTCCTAATTATATTATATTATATTTCATAATACCACTTTATTTTTAAATACTGTATTTTGTTTGTTTTTATTGTATATTTAAAAATGAATGCAGCCTTGGTGAGCATAGGAGACTTCTTTCAAAAACATAAAAAAAACATACATACACTTTTAAATGGCAGTGTAATTGCATTAAAATAGCTGCAATTATGGGCCATATTTTCTAACCAGTGCAAATTAGCGCAGGAGCACAATTCCAAAACAGCACCAATGGGCTGGAAATTTTTGCAGGAGATTTACTGAAAATGAGCAAATTAAAAAACACAGAGCAACATCTCGCAAATAAGCAGAACCGATGCTCAGGTGCAGGTGATCTACTTACGACACAGGCACAAAATAGTTTAAGACATTTAAGGCTTTTTTTGGGCGTTAAATAATGGCGCAAACACCAGTAAATTGACGAGCGCAAATGTTAGTAAATCGTGTTGCTTGATTCATTTCAATACTCTCCTCCCATAAATGTTGCGCCTGAAATGGAATCTCCTACAAATGCATATTCAATAAAGTCAGGTGCAAAAATAACTGACAGTACTATTTTAACGCCAAAAGATGGTTTGCACTGGTGCAAACTGTTAGTAAATCTGGCCCTATGTGTAGTATAAGTGACTTTAAAAGGATATAGGCTAAGCTAGCAGGCTAATCAGCTAGCATTATGCTAAGTTAGAACACAAAACTTAAAGACATGGCATGAACAAAACGCATACTGAACCGTGGATGGCGAACTGTACGGTTGCAGGAACCATTTCACCCCAATACCCAGACTCACCGTGTGTTTTGCTGGTTAGACGCTTGCGCTGGTTGGTGGAGGTGTTGTGTGGGAGGAGTGTGTTTTGCTGGTGGTTACTGTCGACAGGACTGGTAGCTATGATGTTGTCCTTGTACTTGCTCATTAGGGACAGTTTTGTGCTATCGTTCCCTGATGGAAAAAGGTTACAATTAGGAATGAAGAGAGGCAGACAGATGAGCGGCAAATAACAGTCCACCAAGGGCATGTGGAGACACTTTATGTAAACGCTTGTCATTCAGAAGGACGAGACTAAGTGGTCTATGTGAAGTATATTCAGAGTTATGTTACAATGAAGCAACTGAGAGCCTTCACAGCCCAGCGATTCAGGATATGACATTCCGTCATTCACCATTACGTAATATCGCCATCCCCTGAAGTTAGTCTGCCCCTTCATAATGAGTAAATTGCACAACAAAGACAACTGGCACTGCAGGGTTTTTATTGTATTAGGCAAATTACTGTGACAGCATGAAACCGCTCCTCTCCTGCAAAGCTTTTTAGGGGTATTTATAATGGCTACTCTTCAAGGCAAACATCAACATCATTTCACATCTGATAAGGGGCGGCCATTCCAAATTCTTGTGTCCAATAGACATGGCCAATCTGACACAGACTCAGGTCTGGTCATGTGACTCGTATCTAATCTTGACTATAGCAGAGCTGAAATGGGTGCCATGGGTGCCATGAACCCATGGCCAAATAAGCAGTTTTGCTTAGCAGAAGTATATAGCGTTATTACTTTGATATTATTTGGGGAAAATAGCCTTAGCTAGCTAATAAATAAATATGTCATGTTGATTTCCTCTTTGCAGTTGTTTTGATATAGGCTTTATCCAATTTCTGGAGCTTGTACTTAACCCAGGCTTTCTCACTCGCAGCTGCATATCGAAAAGGCGAGCTCTGCTGCTGACTCTTGAGCTCTCAAGGTGAAATAAATATTTTCAGGGCCAGCAATGTGCAAATGATGTGCTTAGCCCATGCAACTTAAATCTCACAGGTTCCTGGATGCAAAAATAGATTTAGTGTCACAGTGTACATATGCATAAACAAAAATAATGTCTGTTGGTTTATGCATATGTGCATGATACATGAAAAAAAAATCTATTTCTAAAGTGTTTTTTTTTTTTTCAAATGTAGAAAGAGCTTAATGCTTAATGCTGTGATCATGTGCATTCACCTATGCCTGGTAGTTTACATTTACATGTTTGAAAATTATTAACAGTTGAAAACATTAGAAATTTAGAAAAGAAAGGCAATGACTTTGCACGCAGTGTTTTTACACAAAGGCACCTCATGAAACTGATTGCGGACAGGCTTCTGAGGCAGTGTAATGGTTTAATGATTTTCAACAAAATAGAACGAGTTTTGGTGATAACTAAACAAATATTTAATTACTATAATGCTAATTTCTCGCTAGAAATAACATCAAAAGTGCAAAAGTACAAACTGACCACCAAATGCAACTTTCAGACGGCATCTTTATTTTTTAGCTCAACCGGCATGGAATGGAACGCACAGGATTGTGGGATATCAAAGGCAGCGAAGGATACATCTATGCTGCCTTCAAAATTCGATCAGAAGAAGGTACCTCCGGAGACAGGAAGTAAATTCTGATCCAGAATTTGGATTCGGACGTGCCTTGCTGCCTTCCTGCCTTGGAATGCTGCCTCCGAAGGCAGCATTTTAGAGCTTTTGGATGCAGCCTTTGCCACTAGGTGCCGCTATTGGAGTGGTAAAAATAGCTGTTTCCCCGGTAACGGCTGTACACAAAGCAGCACTGTGCTCACAAACGCTGCTTTATCAGGCATTACAGGCATGATGAAATGAGATGTCATGCAAAGGAGGGGTTTGGAAAAATGAATCGTTGAGCGAATCGTTTGGGAGTCGTTGAGCAAATAAGGTAAAAATAAATGCATATTACAAGTCAATGAAAGTGCTTTTTTGAACTTGCATGCATGTCAACCTGTTGTTGGGGACACCCAAAACCAAATTATGAACCTTTCATAACCCATAATAGAGACACTTTAAAATAGTTAACTACTTATTACATTTTAAATAGGGTAACTTGTAATCTGTAACATTACTTTTCCAAAGTAACCTTCTCAACATTGTTTATATATCTCTGAAATTAGTCACTAAATCAAAACACTGAATTAGGAGTGTGAATTCATTTAGTGAATGATTAAAGCATGCTATTACAGGTTATTATTAAGGTTACTGTCTGAGGTTTTATTGGCAATTTCATAGCCCAAATATTGTTGGGCATGTTAAAAGGGTAGGTCACTCAAAAGTTAAAATTATATAATTTACTCCCTCTCGTGTAATTCCAATGTACGACTTTCTTACTTCCATGCAACACAAAAGGAGGCACTGTTAAAGTCATAGCTGGTTGCTAGTTTACATTCATCTACGATCAATGGGCAATGAAGCATTCAAGCTTTAAAAAGGATCTAAAAGCACCATAAGAAATTAAGAATTATTATGAAAGTGGTATAGTGATATATACCACTATACCACTATAGTGGTATAGTGGTATAGTGTGATATATTCCACATTTTCTGAAGCCACAGTTTTTGGTGAGAAAAAGCTTGAAATATAATTCATGATGATATAATTGAAAATCGTGACATTCACCCTCTCTTTGGCACGTCCATGAGATATTTTCAATAAATTGGTTGATCTGGTTCACAAAGCCATGAATACTCATGTGAAAGGTTTGTTTTGATTTGCAATGATTTGTTAACCTTTTAACCTGCTCCCCCTATTTTGGGACACACAGCTGAAAATGACCTACCTAACTTAAAATGTTATACCACGATCAAGGCACAGAAACGTAGTAAGGACATCGTTAAAATTGTCCATGCGACATCAGTGGTTCAACCATAATTTTATGAAGCTATGAGAATACTTTTTGTGCACAAAGAAAACAAAAATAATGACTTTATTCAACGATTTTTTTCTCTTCCAGGACAGTCCTCTGCCATTATCGATGCATGCGCTTCACCTTGTTTACAAGCAGAGGAAAGCAATGCGCATATAGTGTCGATAATGGCGGAGGACTGTCATTTTAATGACGTCCTTATTACGTTTATGTGTTTTGATCGTGGTGGGACTCTTGCTGTCTATGCAGGGTCAGAAAGCTCTCGGAGTTCATCAAAAATATCTTCATTTGTGTTCTGAAGATGAACAAAAGTCTTAGGGGTTTGGATCAACATGAGGGTGAGTAATTGAACAACTGTTTTCATCATTAATTTTAATGTTTCTTGAGCAATCAGTAAATCAGCATATTAGAATGACTTCTGAAGGATATGTGACTTTAATGACTAGAGTAATAACTGCTGAAACATCTGCTTTGCAATCACAGGAATAAAGTACATTTTAAAAGTATTATTATTTTAACTATATTAAAATAGAAACATGTATTTTAAATCGGAATAACACACTGTATCATTCACTGTATGTATTCACTGTATTTTTGATTAAATACATGCAGCTTTGGTGAGCATAAATAGATTTCCTACCAACCAACCCCAAACTTTTGGATGTTAGTGTGCAGCATATGAAGAAACGGTTATTGAAGATTTAGAAGACTTGACTTTATTTAATAGGATAAATCAAAATCCACTACTTAAAAGCTCAATTCACTGAAACTGCATTGAAAAAAACTTCCAGTGCATGTTCACATTTGAAATGACATTAGGGTGAGTAAATTATTTTTTCTTTTTTTTTAATGAACAATCCCTTTAACTTAGACTCAAAGATTTTTACTCATGCAGTGCAGTGTGCTGTGGGCTCACAAACCTAGAGTGAGATCCATGCCAGCTTTGTCATTGCACCCTTGAAGTGAGTCAAGCGTACGTGTCACTTGGCTGGTGAAGTCCTCGCCGCCGTTCATGCACTCCCGCTGCAGGTGGTGGCGTAGGTCTGTGATGTCATACTCATACCCGTCCAAGATCGGAGTCTCACGGATGCTGATTGTGCCGCTCGAGTTATGACCCTGTCCGCGAGAATTTCTCAAACTTTCCCGGGCCTGTCCACCCATCAGCACAGAGGGGATGTAGTGGATCTCATTGGCTGCTTCAGCACTAGCGCTCTTTTGTGGCTGAGGTACGCGGCGACGTTTACACCAGCGTCTACGAGTGTACAGGATCAACACCAAACACAGGATGGACAGCAGAAGAGCGATCATACCACCCTACAGAGAAAATGGAAGGGAAGATGGAAAATGGGAGAGACAAATTTATGAAGAGAATAAAAATATACTCTAATTAAATTCTTGGTACAGAAAATTAAAAGGTCAAAAGAGAAACCATAGATTTTTTTATTTTTTTTTAAGATCGAAGAAGAATTTTGTGCATTTGCTCAGATAACTCCATCCACAATTAAATGCTGCCCAAATTATTCCATCCAAAATTATATAGGAGGATGTATAATGTGTGTCAATCTGATTCAGATATAAAGTTATGCAGGGATGAGGAATTTTTGTAGGACAAAACAGTTCCACTCTTCTGAAGTCAATGGGTTTTTAAATGTGTTTTTGTTGAAATGCCTGAAATTGGGTCTGTGGTCAACACAAGCTCAATATATTTTCATGCTTTATTCTATGACATGACATCAGTAATACCCCCTTTGGTTTTTTAAAAGCCTTTGCTTGAAAAAGGCAGCTGCTAACAAGTAGCTAAATGGTACTACAGACGTTGTTAGGGTCAATAAACCTCATCACAACAGGTAAACTCATCGACTCACTAGTCCACTTTTTGCAGCCTCCTTGTGTTTATAATCATGCTCTTGAAAACTACTATTTTTTTTAAATAAAGATCAAATCAAATAAGTTGCTGTAAGCTTATTGACTGTGACAATGAAGTCATGAAGTCATGGTGCAGTGGTATAAAGCATTTAAGGAAAATGTACTGTAAAATGTGCTGTATTTTGTAGTTTAACTGAGGATCAAATATTTGACCAACATTTAATCTCTACTTGACTACATTTTTGATTAAGTATATCAATGGTTTACTCCACTACATTTGAGATAATCCAACTACTCCTAATCAACTCCCTACAACTACAACTAATCCTAACTTTTTTCTGCAGCAGTTTACTTCTGCTATAAAAGAAGTGATATCGCCATCTACAGAGCTATATATTATATATGGCACTATATATTTTGCATCTTGCCTTTACTCACCTAAATTTTTCAACAAGGCATTACACGAATGTGAGTGCATTAGCAGGTGGCTGTGAATTGCAGGTGTTTCAAACATGAGATGAGGACATGGCTGAGACTGTTTTAAAGGATATTGTGGTTTACTTTATTTTTGTAGGCTTACACTTTACTTTATAGGTTTATTGAGCCTATTCAGTAAGAGTAAAATACTTAAGTACTGTTAAAATCAGATACTCTAAGACTTATGTAAGTCATATTGGAATTGGTGGCTTGTAACTTGTAATGGAATAATTTCCACTGTAAAGTATTTGTACTTTTATTCAAGTATGGTTTTCAGGCCGTCATTACACCTCTGCTGTTGTATAGTTAATTTATAGCCTAACTTCAGATTTTTACTTCTTATGAATGTATTTAGATTTTAAAATGAATAAAAGTGGTGTTAATTTGTGAAGATTGTCATGTTTTTTATTTCTGCAGTAATCTAAAAGCCAATGGAAAAATACAGTTTGTTTTTGTCAATGGAATTAGCTTTCGGATTAGCCTACAAAAATACTAGAAAAAAGGGTAATTCATTATTTCTACAGACCGTTTGGAACTTTAATAAACCATATTTGCACACAAAATTGAAAAGCATGTAATAATCATGATTTCAAAGAGATATGCAATAAGTGAATTTGCGTAGCTAAATGAAGAAAAAACATGGAGTACTAGTTGTTTTCTGTTTATTTTACAAATATGACCATGATTATGACTAATTATAGGGGGGGAAATACACAAGTTCCCTTGTAGTCACTACAACAGTGTGATTATAATCGACTTAATCTATAATATATGCTGCTAAAGACTGCTGGATAAAAACCATACCAATATTGCGGCCACAAACAGCACCAGATCCAATAGATAATTAGTTTGCGTAATTCGATTTCCTTTGGATCCATCACTTTGAATTAGCCAAACAAGCAAAATGTAACTTCACTGCGGAGAAAATTATGGAAGGCTGCATGTTACAGACGGTTTAAAATTAGACCAGATGGGATATCTCTTTATGAAAGGGAAACTATTAAGACCAAACGAAACATCGCAGTCTAGCAGCATGAGGAGAACTAATCGAATTAGCCAACGGATACAAGTGATGCTATTATGGGTTTGTCACATTCTTTAACAACTTTAAGCAGATGTCCTGTAAGTCATCAGCTCCCAAAATGGGTTATATTTTGGAGCATTTTTTCATTTTCCTTGGCAAAAAGAAAAAAATATTTATTTGTTGCTTGGTGCCAAGTTTGTTATTTCAAATGAACTGAGAATGTGGTTTAAACTATAACAGATAATATAGCATGTGGCTTACATCTGTGAAGATACAAGGCATTTACCAAATAATTTAGTTTTCCCATATTAGCAACCATTTAAAAGATTTAAGCCATTCACCATTATTGGTTATATACTGTATAAATAATGATAGTATATTTATAATGATAATAGCATTTTTAAAAGACAATTATTTTTATATATATATATATATATATATATATATATATATATATATATATATATATATATATATATATATATATATATAT